AAAAAAAAAACGATTCCCTTTTGTCGTCGCGACATGTATTGTACATATATTATTGATCAGTGTTGCTTACACAATATTTGGCAATTGGCTAATGTTTACGTAGCCAACGATAGACATTTCAGGCAGGCGCGAGGCATAAACAATGTTTGGTTCGACTTTTTAATATTCTTCCAAATACGCCAATTGTATTTCACGAAATACTTCAAACCTTAAGCTTAATTAAGCGCTTTACTAATTGGAAATCCCTCTTAAAATTTGGATTTTTCAAAGCCAAGTTGTTGTTTAACGTACATATTTGTTCACACAAAAAATTAACACACAAACAACGAATGTGTGATCAGTGCAGAAGTTTAGGAACATTTCAAAACAATCTCTTGTCTGGCGCCTGTCTAGCTGTCTCATTGACAACACGCGTTGACATTAAAAAAGAAAAATAAAAAAAAAGTATAATCGCTTGTTCTACATACGCATTTATAAATACCAAGCGCACTGCTGTATTCGCTATAAAATACATATAAGTACAACTAATTTACTAATCATATTATCACGTTATCAACGCGTTTCTTGGAGCGAAGTACAAAAAACTCTAACAACTACATATATTGCTTTTTTGTTCATTTCCTTTTTAAGTAAACAAACTAATTTACATTATATTTTCTTTTTTAATTTTAGAATGCATTAGAATTGAGTGCACCGGCGACGCCTGCGCTTCTGGAGCACAATCAAAACAATCAGCATTTTAACGCAAACGTTAAACCGCCAGGTTGGATGCAATTGTCTGGACATCCTGAAAGGTAAATATGCTACTTCTGAGCTTGCGAAAACGCATTATTATAAAATTTTCATTGGCGTTCACACATTATTTGTCACTCATTGTCACCATACTCATAAAATACTTCACTTCTTTCACTTTAAACAGTATCTTTCTTTGTTTCACTTAACTTACCTTTCGTTGTTTTTTTCTTTCTTTTTTTTTAGCATTGTTCCTACAACTGCTGGCGTTGTGCGCAAACGCGTTGCCAGTCTTACGGACAATGAGGTGCTCGCATATAAAATGCTTACACAAGAACCACAAACCGCTAAAATTGTGCCACAATTCTATGGCGCGCAAGAAGTAAATGGCGAATACTTCATCGATCTCCAGGATCTATTGACTGGTTTCAAAGATCCATGTGTTATGGATATTAAAATGGGTTGCCGCACTTTCCTCGAATCAGAGGTCACAAACAAGACACTTCGTCCGGATTTGTACAAGAAAATGGTAGCAGTCGACCCAATCGCACCTACAGCTGAGGAACACGAAGCACAGGCCATTACAAAACTACGTTATATGCTTTTCCGTGAATCGATGTCCTCATCGCAATCGAAAGGTTTTCGCATAGAAGCCCTGCGCCTACGCGGACGTCCACCTGTGAAGGATCTTAAAACGGTACGCAATAGCGATCAGATTACACAAACAATAGAACAGTTCCTTGGTGCTAAGCGCTCCATAACAAAAGAGCTCATCAAGCGTCTAAAGCATTTGCGTTCAGTAATGGAAAAATCAGCATTCTTTCAACGGCATGAAGTGGTTGGCTCCAGCATTTTTATTGTTTACGACGATGATAAGGTTGGCGCTTGGTTAATAGATTTTGCTAAATCACGACCTTTACCAGCGGGAGTTAGTGTGAATCATCGTGCGCCTTGGGTGCCGGGAAACTGCGAGGAGGGTCTACTCAAGGGCATGGATGAACTTATCAACGCATTTGACAATGTGTATGCAAGTCATGGCAGCCGAAAGTGTTTACAAATATAAATTACACTAAAAGCAGCAGGGCTGCTTGTGTTGGAGAATTAGAAACACTAAGAAACCATTCTAAAACGATTGGTAAGGAAGCGTTGACGTTTCTTTCTTCATATTCGGGAATTAATATGAATCTAAGATAGAACAAAAGAAAATTACGAATCTTTCCTTATTTAAAACATATGTATCTATTGTAATAATATTTTAAGATTGTTGTTATTCTGCCAGAAGACTGATTCGCATTGTGTGCATTTATACGGT